CGCATGTCGACTGGACGTAGTGGGACTTAAAACGGAGCTCTCACCCATCAGAGGAATCAAGTTGCTGTTTAGGGACCTCATTTTGTGCAACAATTCGAGCACGTGTCCTCGCTTAGTGCTCCGAGCGGCTCGTAAAGCAGCGATTAGCCGCTGTGAAAAATGTCAGAGCGAAAGTAATCTCTTTTATTGCGGCAAAAGTTATCAAAATCATTGTCAAAGCACCACTTAGTCTGAAAATGCTCCAATCCAAATCCGCAACACTCCTCGTCCAACCAAGCAACTCAAACGCTTGTATGCTCCGTCCATTAGGTTTATTCCGTTGCCACGTTTTCCTTGCGGCCTATACTGCCGTGATACGGAAGAACGCCGTACGAATATTCGAGAGTTGCCAAATTTCCCTTGATAAAACATGAATTTTTGACGACATTTACGCACATTCTTCTTTGAAATCTTCAGATATTTTAGATTGAACTCCGTACAAAATAGTCTGAAAATTTTGGAAAAAAATATTCTCAATTTCCCCAGTAAATTCGGTTTTTATCGAAGGATACTTGGCAATGTCTGGAGACTCATATGGTGTTCTTTCTTAGCATGGCAGTATAGTTGGGCAGGAGAGCACTTTAGTATATATCATATCACTCGCACAGATATCAGAATACTGAAATTCGCTCCTTGTCCGCTGGCCCATTCGTGGCCCGTTGCAAGCTGCGGAGATTTGCGTATTGATGACCGATTCCAATGGCAAATTTTACGAAAAGAAAGATGGTGCTATTGAAAAATTTTGAAATCCCCTCTCAAGCTCATAAAAAGCATTTTTAGAAACCGACCCATTCAAAACTGTCACTTTTACGCGGAAACGGATCCGGTATACTCGTGACATCACAGCCCATGGCAAACCTGGTCTCTTCATCAAACGGTTGCCAATTCCTCGTGAAAGAATACATTGTAAGCTACGAAAATTCGAGGTTTGTTATGTACTGTGACGTCACGAGTGTACTGGACTCCTTCCCGCGTAAAAGTGACTGTTTTAAAAATTCGCATTTTAAAGCATTTTAAGTTGATTTTTTGGGGGTTTCCGGTGGTGGAAAAACTCCGGAAAAATTCCCGTGACATCAGAATCCTTAGTTCTTTTGCTACACGCAATAAAAAAAAGTTGTGCATTTTCGTTTGGCGAATCGTACTCTATGTGAAATTTTGATGAAGAAGGATATCACAATGCTTTTTGTACCTTCGTTTACTCTGCCGTACCAAGGAAAAATGCCGTATGAGCCCTCAGCAGTTACCAAATCTCCTTCGATAAAGCGTCCAGCCCACGTACAAACTGGGGCTCTCAAACTGGCACTAATTCTTCTATTTCTCAGCCATTTCTGCACGGAATGCCTTGAAAATTTCAAGATCTGATCTGTGATGTATCCCGAATACATCGGTTACCCTCAAAGATCGTTGGCCCGACGATCTTTGAAAGGCAACAGTCAACAGTTCCATCGATGAGCCTCTTTGAGGCCCCTAGTTTGTAGGTGGGCTGGACGCTTTAATCATTGATTTTTGGGAAAATTTGTGATTATTTCTCTCCGAATTTTACCGAGGATTTTGTTCGTAATTTGATCTGAAAAATCTATAATTTGCAAGGAAAGATACTCATAATTTTCTCAAAAATTAAATCTCTTCTGAGAGGAAATTTGGCAACATTCGAATTTTCACCCGGCGTTTTTCCTTAGCTCGGCAGTCCTGGTCTATTCGTGGGGAATCAGGCATACTTGGGTCCTAGGTTTGGGAAATGAGAGACATGACGAAATCTCTAGAGTCCCTTTATACTGAGAGTCAAGACAACACCCCTCATGGAGTCACAAACGGGAACAAAGATTATACAAATTGAACGTTTTTCGTAATCTTTGATCGGCTCATTCTTAAATTCCTTTCTCCTTTCCTTCTCTCATTCCGTTTGTTCCTTGTCGAACCCGAAATTCCTCGGTCCATTCCAGGTTATAATCTTTGCAATTGGTGAAAATGTAATCTTTATTCCCGTTTGTGACACTGTGAAGGCCTAAAATCCGGTTAACCAATCGGAAATGGATTCGCTTTGTCTTGGCTCTCAGTATAAAGGGACTCTAGAAATCTCCAGTGGGGGCTTCTTCCCGGCTGCCAGTGGGAGCTCCTAGTTCCAGCCCCCGGGTCCAGATGGGCGCCAGACGGAGTCGTCCCTGTCCCGGAGCGAGATCGAAGGGGGTCAGCAGGAGCACACCACACTACGTCACCGCGTGCGTGTCGCAAGAGCATGAGCTGATGAGACCCGGCTTCGGCTCCCAGTCCCGGTTATACAAATTAATCTTAACGACACAAAGGCACGAATTTGCATGAGCCCCTCTACTCACCGGCGGCGGCGTCGCGGCGCGGATAACTCGGCGTCGCGGCGCTCTCCGTCATGAGACATGACTCATCACCGCCACGACGACGGCGACCTGTCTGCAAAGTGCAAATGTCCCTGCTGCCTCCTCCCTGGATTGCTAGATTGCCTTGTCTAACATCTTGTCTACATTTTCCAATAGGAAACTCCTATATCTGGCTCATCTTAGAAGAAACATAGTCCATAGTCATTCTCCATTAGTTTCTCCATGTCGGAAGGTTCTGACACAAATGAGTCGAAAGATTTGTTTCTTCTTGCAAAATGACGTCCATTTCATCAACGATCCCTCTGTATCGTCTTCTGCGTCAAATGAAATAGAAAAATGTAACCCAAAGATTTGGTCAGTGTAGCCTAAAGGAAAAGTAATCCGGAAATATTAATTGCACCTTTCGGTTACTTCATATTGTACTTCCAGTATTAACACAAAATGTCGGTCACTTTTTGTCACTGTATGAACTTGACGAATACCCTCTAGTGAACTAGCATAAAGTATGCACATCGCGACCCCTCCATGACAAAGGAAACCATCTTTAACGAAATATAATTTGTTTATGTTTAACGTCGCTAGAATAAACTTTCAGTATCCCGAGGGCAACTCTGCCGAGCTAAGGAAAAACGCCGTATGAACATTCGAGAGTTGCCAAATTTCCCCGGATAAAACATGTATTTTCAAGGTAATTTATGCATCCTGTCCTTTGAAATTTTCAGATATTTTAGGTTAAATTCTGTAAAAAAATTTCCCGAAAATTTCGAAGAAAAATACCCAACAGATTCCTTGAAAATTCTTATTTCATCAGAGGGCATTTGGCAACGCCTGAAGGTTCATACGGCGTTCTTCCTTAGCACGGAAGAGCTGTTCATAGTCGCATTTCCCAACGAAACTACGTCCGTTGCGCATCTGAGCCACGGCGGAACGACGAGTCAATCCACCGGCAAGAAAGTCTCATCGGGCGTATTATACTAAAAAGAACTATGTCCATAGGGTTTGTGCGAAGCATAGTTTCTTTTCGAAGAAACACATCCCATTGATAAGTCGAGTGAGATGTTGGCGTGGCTAAACGGAGTGACGTGGCAGTGCAGTGGACGGATCTGGCACTGACAGAGGTGACGGCTCATCCCGATCCCGAGCAAGAACAGCACAACCGCAGTCGAAACCCGGATGAAGATACGCGGTTTCCGCGGATGGAGGGCGTGGGCAGGGGCACAGGCGCGTGGGTCGGCGCGCGGCGAAATTTCCGACTGCAATTACACCGAGAAACAATGATCCCGCCGCTTACGTAAGCGCCGCTCGGGCCGCGTGGAAATGTTAACATGGGCGGAAGGAGCGTCTCACGCGAAAACTTACATACAAAACGTCGCCCCCCCCCTTGGCGTAAGGGCGTATCTCCATCCCCGCATGAGCCCCAGTAAGCATGGGTTTATATGTGAAACAGGGCTCAAGTGGAGGTTGAGATCGGAGTGAGGAGGGGACGCGTTGGAAGGGCCGCGCTCATTAGCGGCGTCGTGTCGCCACGTGACCTGGGACTGTCGGTGGAAATGAATGCCCTGTTGAAAAGGTCGGTAAGCGACGTGCGGGGGCACCTGACCCCCTCCGCGAGGGTACATGCTCCGGGATCCTCGACGACGACGGGACGCGGGAGGCGCGTCGATTATGGACGGTTTACACCGCGGAGTTGGCACAGACGAGATATCTCCGAGACACCTGTCTGGGAAGCGCCACCGGGTGAGTCAGAGGTTGACTCCGGGTGCGTTAACCGGGACTCGAAAGGTGCTTGCGGGTGGATTGTTGAAATGTGTAGACAAAGCGATAGACAAAGAAGACATAGGGGTACGGAGTGATCCTATTAAATGAAATGGGTAGTTCTTATAGACACGGAGAAAAAAACTTCGTGCGTGGGACCCGAAGTTTATAGGTCAATGGATCTCTGAAGTTTTCGGATTGAGCATCTGAACACTTTAGGTCCAGGTGCTGAGGTTTGGATCACACATCTGAAACTTCAGTTCTTACATCTGAAGTACTTCGGTTTTCATATCCGAAAAACTTCGTTTTTACATCCGAAAAACTTCGGTTTTCTCATCTGAAGCACTTCAGATGTAAGAACTGAAGTTTCAGATGTGTGATCCGAACCTCAGCAGCTGGACCTAAAGTGTTCAGATGCTCAATCCGAAAACTTCAGAGATCCATATGACCTAAACTTCGGGTCCCACGTACGAAGTTTTTTCTCCTTGGACCAAGGAGGTGAATGCTGGACTAACAAGCCTTATGCAGGAATACAACTTCAAATCTCTTTTTCTCAGTTTCAACTTAATGTGGGTCGGTTTCTTTCTGATGAGCTCGGTCCAAATAACATAAAGAGAAGAAACTTAACGATCGGATTCATGGTGCCCAGGAACCTAGCATCCTCCTTCCTTCTAATTCTTATATGCAATTTTTAGTACGTTCGAGTCGGAACTATTGTGCCAGGCTTTTTAATAAGGCGTAATGCATCTCATTGATTTGGATTAGTTCTTCCCTGCGGTTTCTTACGGATTTATAATTATTAAAGGGATTTCTCCAGGGACACTTTCTAAAATGATGTGTTTTATTTTGTTGCAGGATAAAAAGTCAGGAGGACGGAGCCGTGAAGGCTCCCGGTGATGGACTGTTTGGACCAAAGGGAGAACGCCAGCTCAAGTCCCCCTCAGCCATTTCATTATCTCGCCAACGAGAGCGCCAAGTCGTTTGTTGTTCTTCAGGTAATTAAAATTGCCTCTACGTCTCTCTGTTTATCTAGCATCTTTTTCTCATCGAGCAGTCAATAGATCCTCGTCAATGAAATGGTTCAACGTAATGAAACATTCTGCGAAGTGCTTATTAAATTAAACTGATGGTTTAAAGTCCGTCATAATTTTCCACAAGAGACTTTAAGGAAATTCGGAAAATCAGCTGATTACCCCTCAAGAGAGAAATCAACGTGCGTAGATTGTACACTGGCGTCCATCAAATTTTTCCTGAATAGCTCTCAACATAACAGTGTATTATCTTCAGATCTACAGTTTCATGTTAAAATCATAATATGATTTCATGTAAGTGCAACTAACTGTTCGAATACCAAAAGGAATGTAAAATTGAAATCTAATTTCGGTACGGTGCTCCCGTAAGGGTGAAGTTAATATTTGGGAAATTAAATTAACCTCTTTTCGTTTATTTCTCGTTTCGCACTAATCAGTCACCAGCGAATTAGCTCACTTTCTTCCTTAAAACAGTAATTTGGCCAACATATATATTTTTTCGCGGGGTCGATTTTTGAATTCTGTGCCGTGAAACACATCAAACAATTTTTGAGAGCAACACCTTGAAATACAAGTTAAAATTCTTCTAAAGTCTTCGCTCGACCCCCATTTTTGTTCTTTTATAATATCTAGGATCTAGAGCGATCAGAAAATACCGTTATTTATCGGGGAAATAAAATCCTCGGCGGCAAAATCAAAGAATTCTCTAAGGAATAGATTTTCAAAACCAAATGTTTTCCTTTCTTCCTTTCTCGATACAATTTCGTCCAAAAATTTAACGATCTACATTGAATCGATGCTGAAGGATAACCCTAAAAATGTTCAAATCAATCAACTTCTCTTAACCGTGACGAAAATTCCAAGAATCTGGGAGGAAACATGAGTAAACTGTGGGTTTCCATCAGGGATGTGCCTCCCAAAATCTCCTTGATTTAGAGAGCAAGTTTTCGGGGTGAGGAATTTGTTTAATTTGAAGAACTTTTGGTTGATTCCCATGATTATTTTGAAGTAATTACGATAATGTCATCATCAATCGATGTCAGATACAAGCATCCGCCATCTTTGATATTCTTTCTGAGATGTGGATCGGATCCTTTCTCATCGATGTGATGCACTCGAAGTAGTTTTTTTCTCCTGTCTGGGCTCTGGGGTCGTTTTTCCATCGCTGATTTTCTGATGCACAAGACGGGAGCGTCATTATATCACGGGCTTGTCGTCGCGGTGCAGCCCCAGCACTGTTATTCCGCCCACGAATCAGTGACGCGACATGCTTTGCGATATATCGATTGATCTGCCGTTTAAACCTACGGAAAAGAATCGATAAACATGTTGTTCGTAACGAACACCTCAATAATCGATTCTTTACTATAGCTTCAAATGGGAAAATATCGATAATCGATTGTTCAAGCCACGCCACTGCCACGAATATGGTATTGTGTACCTGTACCCGGAGCCTGTCCCGTGTCCTCTTGTCCGTCGTTGGAAGCCGCTGTTTTTTTTATTCTATTTTTAGTGCCAATGACGACGAACGGACGTTGCGTTGCGGTCTCGCGATCTGTGCTGCCGTGTAAAGGCAAAACGCCGTATGATCCTTTAGGCGTTGCCAAATTTCCTTCGAAAACGTACAAATTTACTGGGAAAGTTGAAAATATTTTTCTTCCAATTTTTCGGATAATATAGTTTACACTGTAATCCAGAATATCTGAACATTTCAAGGTAAAATAAGTATAAATATGTGCTAAGGAAAAACGCCGTATGAACCCTCAGACGTTGCCAAATTTCCTTTGATAAAACGCGAATTTCCTGGTGAACTTACGAATATTTCCCCTCCCAATTTTTCAGATGATTTTGTTCGCAATTTCACCTAAAGATTCTGAAAATTCAAAGGAAAAGTCAGGGTGTCTACAATTAAATTCGGAATTTCCGGAAATAGTACTGAGTTTTCAAGGGCGGTCCGAAAGTACTGAAAAAGTGCGGAAATACCTCAAGAAGGTCCGGAATTTTTTCCTTTTTTTGTCTTTTTTGTAGCAATTTAAGCGAGAGATTCAAATTCTTGAAATTTTTCGAATTTCGTCAATTGGTGGTTCTGAAAAAGTATTGAATTTTTCTGTGAAGAAGGTACGGAATTTCTTGGGATTGTGCTGAAAAAGTACTGTAAAGGTACTGATTTCTGGCCAGCCTGTTCTAGTAGACTCCCTGAAAAATATTCACAACTTTCCTCAAAAATGAGCATTTTATCGGGGGAAATTTGGCAACTCTGGAATGTTCATACGGCGTTCTTCCTTTACGACAGTGTGGTGTGCCGAGCCACTTTCCGCTAGAGTGGTCGCACTGACCGACGTCTTGCCGAACTGAACGCTGAAAATGACCCATCAGCTCGTAAAATGGATGGTTTCTCGTAGAGATACGGCAGCGGCGGTGGTTGTGACGTGGTGCTGCGCGAGCCAGTTACGATGACCACCCAATGTCCAATGAGAACATCCTTGATGAATCAGGGCTCCCACTCATCTGTGAAACGAAGGAAAGTCGAGCGGGTTGCTTCCTCATTTGCAAGAACACTCGAAAATCAGGGATATCTGCAAATTAATTATAAGGCATGTCCTCGTTCCGGCGTCCGGAATGATTGTGCAATCGTTCAAATGATGTCCTTATGTTTTGCCAAAGGTCCAATCCGACTACATTTTGCAATTCGGAATCGGAACTGCAATTTCTTGCACAGTTCAGGAACAGCGTATGTACCATCAGTTTCCCTTCGTACATAAGTATTTTTACGGATGAGCTAGAAATTGTACTTTTTGATTGCAAAATGATGTTCGATTCATTATTTCGCATAACTTTATCGGTAGAGTTGGGCAAGATCTCGTGCAGTATGTATTTGTGGTCTGGCTATTTTGATAACTGATAAGTCATGTTTTTCATCGATAATCCAAAGTGTTGAAAAGTGTTGATACACAGGCGTTAAATGACGAAAAAGTTTATTTTAGCCCCAAGTTCCGATAAATAATCTCGTTTTTCCCCATTGAATTTAAAGGAAAATCAGAGAAAATCCTGGGTTATTTTAATCAGGGAATTTTTCCACGAAAACCAGGAAAATATCATGTGTAGGAATTCTTGGCGCAATGGCAAGTTGCATAAGTTTTCCTAAATAGCTCTTGTAAGATGTTCTGCCTTCCCCTGGCGCCATGTGCCAAACGCGCCTAAAAATCGGGCCTTGGCACCCAAAAATTGGGGGGGGGGGGGGNGGGGGGGGATCAAGCGCCTAAAAAATTTGACAGATTGAACTTGCAATCGGAAAGCAGCGGTAGCAATGAAGCGCTCTCTATACGCACCTTACGCAGCTCCACATTCATGCCCTCTGCAAATTTTCATTCCCCTTGGCCCGTATGCTAAAATTCAATTTGGCTCCTAAAAATTAGTAGATGGCTCCTACAAATTGGGCTTTCCGGCCAAGGTGGCTCCTAAAATTTTAGGGGGAAGGCAGAACACTGCTTGTAAGCAAACCTAGCTGCTCAGCGCTTCGGTCATCATTCATCATTTGGACGTACTCTACGAGACGGAAGTATGTACATTATGACGTGAGCCCTGTCATGCATGTATTCTCATGGGTCTTAGGGCTCATGTCTTAATGCACATAGTTCCGTTTGATAGAAATACGTCCATTTGTGCATTTTAGCGTTGACTGCCGAAAGTGACGTTTATAACCTGGGGGAAGCAGCAGTGCGGGGTCTCTGTAATACTTTATTGTCGCGCTGGTCCGAGATTTTTTGTCTTCGAGTGGAAATAGTCGATGATTGGATAAAATTATCCGTCCCGCTACATCTCGGAAGACCCACCCGAGACGGGGCGGAAGGGTGGCAGGACTGGCAGGGGCCCGATCTACCATGCTAATGAAAAACAACGTACAAGCATTCGAATGTTGCCAAATTCCCTCTCACAAGATATTTATATTTGCGGAAGGTAATGAATATTTTTCCTTGAAATTTTCGGAAACTATCCAATTACAGGTGCGCAATCAGGGAAACCGGGAATATCAGGAAATATCAGGGAATTTAAAAAAGTCATAGAAAACCTGGAAATGTCAGGGAAACTGATGAAAGTGACAGGGGGAAAATGTTCACTATGTTGTTGCATATTGCTCATTTTTTTAAATCGCCGACCCTGTGCGCCAAAAATGAAATGGCCATAGTGCGTACAGAACAATAAGAAAGTAAGTGCTATATAATCGGTTTTCAAAAAAGTTTTAAGTTAATCAAATAAAGGAAAATGTTCAATTCATCTTTATTTGCCTCTTAGAATGGGTTTGACGTTTTGAGCAACAAATTTTGCCGGAAAACTAATTCAAATTATGTTTTTTTAACCAGCTAGCATATCTTCAATCGTCAGGGAATTTTACTCAAATGTGTCAGGGAAATCAGGAAAATGTCAGGGAATTTCCTCTTCCAAATTCTGTGGCAATCTTGCGAAAAATATTTGCAAATTTTCCTGTAGCTCTACCGTGCTAAGTAAGAACGCTGTAAATCCATCAAGAATTTCCCTCGTTTTTTGGAACTTAACACTTTATAAAATAGAAAACTGTTTTACCCATGCACCTCAAATTTTCAGGTTAAGTTCTTGATAGTATTTGCGAAAGAATTCAGTAAAAACATTGTCCCTATGCCAAGGCACACAAGATTTTCTGGTATGATACATTGTTTCGTAAAAATGTAAAATGGCGTTTACGGCGTTTTTGCGTTGCACGGCAGAGATGTCGCCCTTCGCATGAAACATAAATTCGAAACGTTGGGAAAAGCGTCAAGCGGAAATTCTTACGAGGCTTTCACGCGGTACAATGTTTTCTGGTATGATACATTGTTTCACAAAACTGTACAATGGCGTTTACGGCGTTTCTGCGCTGCACGGCAGAAATGCGTGATTTGTCAACGGGAATTTGGCAAGGTGTGACTGTGAAAGTTCATACGCGGTTT